CCTATTTTGGAAGGCTGGCAGGCCATCGCACCTGACCGATTGCTGTGTTCAGAAGCAACCTTGTCTATGGCCTGCAGAGCTTTGACCTTCTTTTTCATGGTCTGCATGTTTTTCTTTTCTTATTTTTCCCATGTTCTCACTCACTTTGTCACTTTGTTTAAATGTTATCAGCCAGGTCGGAGACACATATTCCTTCCTTCAACTTCCTTCAGGGAGCTCTGGGGATATTTATAAGGCTCTGACTGAAAAGCTGCAAGGAGTTTCAGCCCCCAACTGTGGAGAAGGGGGGGACAGTGACACCAGTAGTCTGAATAATCTGTAATTCAAGTGCTCTGATTGCAACTCTTGTTGATTCTACAATGGAGGCCCCTCTGTGTGTATCCTCTGTTTCCTTCCAGAGGGGCAGGCTAATCCAGACTACACAGGAGTCTTCCTCTTTGTCTACCTTTGGTTTAGACCAAGGTCAATGATGACTCTGTACTCTAGAGTGAATACATGTACACTCCATGTGCCCATTTGTTACCAGGAAAACTGAGGCTTGACTAGGCTGCATGAGTTGAATAAATAATGAGTGGCAGAAATAAATTGGAAATAGACATTGATTCCTATTGTGTTATGGTCCTTTATATAAAACTTATGTGTGCCCATTTATAGAATTTATGAAACATTGAAAGAGACATTTTTATGTATTAGCTTCTGGTCTTTTTTGAAATATGTATTTAAATATAATATATTTGACATGATTAGAATAATGTATTTCTAATTTTGTATCTACACTTAAAGGTTACATTACATGTTATGTAGTTTCATGTTACTAAAAGCTTAACTGAAATAATTTATCATAACTTGCAAAATCCAGTTGTTTTGCCTTACTAGCTTTTGTGTTTGGTTGATTTTTTTTTTGGACAGTTGGTAGCACACTCATAATTCTTTCATTCTAGTAATTCTATTTAATCTTTCAAGCTTTTGAACTGTGAGAGTCTAGCAGTGAACTTTATGAACTGTTGCCACGTCTGAGTCTTACTTGGTGTATTTGCCATTCAATGGTCAAATCACCGTGAGCTGGGCGAGTGCTATTGTAAGCATTATGAAGTGTTATTTTTTGGCCTCATTTCTCACCTGAGGGTTCAAGGCAAATGTCATCTTAATTAGAATATGTGCACAGTGTAGTATAGCTAGTCTCTATTTCTTATGAAACCGAGTCCTTTGGTGTTTCCAGCTTCCATCCCCATTAAGAATTTTTTACTGCAGGCGAGCTGACCTGGTTCTGTGGGTTGTCAGGCTAGTGGGATGGCAGATGAGAAAGAAGACACAGCTTTGAGGAGGGAACTGGAGAAATTGGAGGAGGTGCAGAAGACAGCCAGGGTAAAAAAAAAAAGAGAGCGAGAGACTTTTCCTAAAGAACTGCAGTGTATGACATATGGATTTGGGGATGACCAGACATCCTACTAAGTCAGTGGATGTTCTTGGAGAACATGTCATAGAATCATCATGGAAATGACTCACAAAGCAATGTCAATCAGAGGACAAGGTCAAGTGCAAGGGGAAGATACTGTCTTCTTGATTCAAAGGATCCAAGGAAGTTTGCTCGAGTTAAAGACTTACCACGAATGAAGAATTGGAACGAGCTAGAAAAGCATTTGATGGGCAAACGATGGAGTTTGACACCTTTTTTACTTTCTGAAAATTCATTATTTTCTGTAAAGTTATCTATAATTACCGTGTATTTTCTGCAGTAATGTCCTGATATGTAGGCAGGCCCACGAAAAAGGGAGGAGCACAAAGTTTTCAGCCATTATTTTCATGTCTTCAAGTTGAAAGTGATATTTGAGCCTGTCATGGCCTGCCTTTACCCGAGCAGACATGAGCTACTTACTGGCTTTTAGTGACTGCATTTACATGTTGCAAACCATGGGGTTTCTTCTGACTTTTGACTAAAGGATAAAGCAGTATTTATGTGTGCATAGATTTGTGCCATATAAGCTATACTGTAGCTTTTAATATGTGACAGCTAGATGTCCTTTGACAGCTGAGACATTCTACACGTTCTGAAGTTTTTCATGATAGTGGTCTTGGGGGTTCATGAAGATAGTGAACTGGTATGTTTTGATTTTAAGGACATGACATCATGACATAGGAAACAACAAGTTTTTGTAAGAAAGTTTATCTGTCCTAATTTGTTTTAATATTCTTTTCTAAAAATAACAAGAGTTTTTTTTTTTTTTTGAGAAACTAAAAGTTCAATACAGTGCTTCTGTATTGAAAGGCTTTTTTTTTTTTTTTTTTTTAATTTAAGACCTTAGTGGGTTTGTAACATACTGTTGGTTAAGGTTTTAGGAGACCTCATTTTCCCAGATCAGATTAAAGCTTCTAAAATTAAATGATTTTAGTAGCAAGAATGTTACTGCTTAAAAAGCTGATGGCAGGATAAGTAGTTGGGTGGTGTTTTATTAATATATTTGTAAGATCTTGTTCATTGTGGAAATATGTACTTGATTAAAACCATGTGTGGCTATAGAAACCACTTTTGTAGATCAGGAATATAAGTTTGTGTGTGTTTAGCTTATTGCACTAAATTGTTATATTTAGCTTAAAATAAGAATTAAAACTGCTTTTTAAAGAGATCACTGATGTTACTCTTTGTGACGCTGTACTCGGTGCCACTTATAGTCATTATCTATAAATCAGTACTTAGGAAGTTTTACTTTAACTATTTGACACAAGGAATAAAGTATGAAAAATTAAACAGAAGAAAAAAAATTTTTACTGCAAAAAGAAAGCAAATTTTTAATTTACTGTGACAGCAATAAAAGTTTTCTCTGACATTCTACTGTCAGAATAGTAGAATTTGAGACAGGACAGCTTTTAAACTGCTTATTTATTGGATCCGACTGGGTAGAATTGAAAAAATGTATTAATATTAAATACTAAATTCTGAAAGCCTTCTGTTACACTAGGTTAAACATGAGAAAAACTGGGTTTATTCTCATATTCCCATTTTTGCATTTATATACTTATGCATTTATATATATGTTGTTCATCTCCAAAATCCAGTCATACATATTTTCTGATCTATTCGGTGTTATGGATGCTCTCGGTCTTCAGGGGTCTCTTCTTGTCTTCTACTCATTGGTTTTTTATTTTAATGGTAAATCCACAGCAAGGACTGTCTAACTTTTTTGTAAAAGGCTAATAGTACCTCAGTCTCTTTGGGCTGCTGCCACAAAATACCATGAGCTAGGTGGTATGGAGCCAACAGATGTTTATGACACTCTTCTGGAAGCTGGGAAGTCCAAGATCAAGGTCCCTGTGGAGCAGGTGTGTGGTGAGGACCCCTTTTCTTATAGATAGCTCATCTTCACAGAGGGAGGGGACAAAGTCACTTCCTTGGGGCCTCCTTTGTGAGGGCACAAGTTTCGTTCATAAGGGATCTGCCCTTATGACCTCAGCACCTCCCAAAAGGCCACTCTTCCTGATGGCATCACCTTTGAGGTTAGGGTCTCAACATATTAATTTTGGGGATACCACAAATATTTGAATCATAGCAAGCCAGCTAGCAAATATTATGGCTTTTGTAGTTCATCAGGTCTCTGTTATAGCCTCTCAGCCAGACTTACAAAGGGAAGGCAGCCACAGTCTGTAAATGTATGTGTAAGGAAGATTCAATAAAACTCTATTTTTAAAAACAGGTGGCCATGTGTTCTGTAGTAACAAACAATGGGGGGAACAACAAAAACATCAGGATAGCATGACTAATCTGTTAAAAATGCTTTTCCATGATTTTCTGTTAGCTCAGAATGAATGCTTTTATTTTACTGCTACACTTTCAATAATAGTGGAAGAAGTGAGCTGGTTCAGTACACTGAAGTCAACATCTTCAACTTGTTCAAAAGCTCGTATTATTAATAGTTTCTACTGTTTTTGATTTTTAACATTTATCATTAGGTTGTTGGAAGATAGCCACTGATTTTGAATACCAAAATTAACTCAATATCATTGAGGGTACTTTAAACACTGAATATAATTCCTATTTCAACAAGTTAAGTCATAAGTGAAGAAATTAGCATTAATAAGCTTCGTGTGGCAGCATTAGGCCTTGGGTCAAGCACAGGTTGTGACAGTTGCACAAATGACTTCTGTATTCTTCTGTTGTACAACTAATACTTTACATTTCTTTTCCAAAAGAGCAAACTCTGAGATGGATGAACTTTTCTAGTGGGTTCTGGAAGGTCCTTCCCAATTCTGTGCAGCTCTCGGGGGACCGCATGGTCTGTATGTGTGGTCTCATGGATTGCTCTGAAAAACTGAATAAGACACACACATTGAGCTTTCCAAGGTCATGCTAAACATCCTGGCAATAAAATTTATCTTCTGTTCTTTCTTTTGTAAACATCAAGATAAGAAAAGGTGTGTTTTCTATCCTGTCTTTTGGGATTGCTGCATCCTGTATGTTTTGTAAATTTTGTAAATTTCTCTTGTTTGCAAATCAAGGAATACTTTCTGCTGTAAACCTTAAGGAGAGTGGAATGAGCTCCCTGGATTATAATGCCTTACTGCAGGACTAAACTTTTAATACCGGGAGGCTTCCTAAGCTGTCCCAAGCCGCTGTCCCCTCCCTCACTCTCTCTGCCCATTTGCACACCAGGCATGCCCTCCACACAGACTGAACTCATGCCCTACTCCCGTCCTTTCTTGGAAAGTCTGCGAATGAAGGCATCTTCCAAGGTCCCGTCTAGATGCTGCTACTTCATAGCAGCTTCCTTAGCTAAACTTTATCTTAGTCTTTTCCCACCTCCACTGTGATTTCACCATCTTTGGATTGCAGTGCCTTCTGCAAATACCACCCGTCCCCATTTACCATGCTCTGTGACAAATGCATTGAGCTCAAAATAATTACATGTCCAGCACAGTGAACACAGTTTTCTGGATGAAAAAGGAAGAAGCTAGTCATGTGGACTGATTGGTCATAGTTTTTGTTTCTTTCTTTCTTTGGTCTTCAGGCATTCTGGAAGTCCTACACTGTGTGTTAGTGGAAAGTCCAGAAGCTCTGAATATTATTAAAGAAGGACATATCAAATCCATCATCTCACTTTTAGACAAGCATGGAAGAAACCATAAGGTAAGTGTGAAATGTTACTTCCATGAATGAATTCTGAAATCACTTCATGTATTCCAGTACTGCAAAACAAAAGAAAACAAAACAAAAAGCAACAAGTGCAACACAGTGCACTGTGTATTTCAAAAAGCTAGAAGAAAGGATTTTGAAGGTTTTTACCATAAACAAATGGCAAATGTTTGAGGAGATAGATATGTTCGCCCTGATTTGAATATTAACACAATATGTATGTGTATGAAAACACCACCTGGTTCTCTGTAAATATGCACAATGGTTATGTTTCAATTAAAAACAAACGGAAAATCTTTTAAGATGACTCTTCAAAGATGGCTTGAGTGTTGCATGAGTGATTCTTACGTCTTAGCTATGCTGGAGTTGCATTCAGAGCCTCAGTGGGGGCATGAGCAGTTCTCAACGTGTGTGAAGGAAAGTTGGGGGGGTTGGTGACACATAGGATGTGCTGTTTAAGTGACTGGGTCACAGGTCGCTGGAGGGAAGGTGTTTGCTTTGTGAGGAGTGCCATCCATGCTTGGATCTGCAAGGTGAGTTCGAATCAGCTGGAAGTAATTTCTCATCACAGGTCCTGGATGTCTTGTGTTCACTCTGCGTTTGCCATGGGGTTGCCGTCCGTTCTAACCAGCATCTCATCTGTGACAACCTCCTACCAGGAAGAGATCTTTTATTGCAGACCCGTCTCATGAACCACGTCAGCAGGTAAACTCAGGTGGACAGTGTCTCAAAATAGGAAACAGTCAGAGAACTCTTGCTCTAGCTTTGTAGCTAAGATAGCAGTTGGTCTTTTTTGTTTTATTAGGGGCTTTTATGTATTTCCCCAGTGAATAATGCAAGTGCTGTTTTCTACCAAGCAGACTGGATAATGATAACAATAGATGAACCAGGAAAACATGGATTTATCATGAACACATGTGTAAGAGTTTTTGTTCACATTCCTATGTGGATGGACATCATTGACCTCTTCCTGAGCAGGTGACACCCCTACGGGGGCATAGGTGTATACAGTCATGTTTTTTGCTGTCTTAGAAAGAACAAAAACACTCTCCTTCAGTATCCTTGGGGGTGTCCATTGTATATGATAAAATGTTAGAATGTCCAAAAAATAATAAATTCCACAAGTAGCCAATAAAGTGGTACACATCAGTAGGATTTGCCTTTCAGGGTATCTGATGTTCCTTGAATGTAAAGTATGAGCAAGTGTCAGGCGCTTTGCATACCATCTGTGCTGTGTGTGCATATTTGTGTGTGTACATGCACACGTGTGTATGTATGAGTGTGAGCACGTGTGCTTCCTTCTGTGGGTTCTGCAGTTATCTACATTTTATTGATGAAGAGCCTGGGACTGATAGACCTCAGGTCTACCTCCAGAGTCTGAGCTGTTGAGCACCATGCCATTCTCCATTTCTCATCCCCCCAAATAGACAAATGGGCCTGGGATGTGACTCAAGAGGTAGAGCATCTGCCTAGCAAGCATAAGGCCCCAAGTTCAAATCCCAGTTCCTCCAAAAAGAAAAAAAAATTCAGTCAAATAAACAGATAAATGAACTATAAAAGTGCAGTCAACAAAACATCGTGTGTGACAGCAGTGACGTGGGTACACTGATTCTAGAAGGTGTCCAGAAGATGCTTGCTACTTTATCCTGTTTTAAATAAATTAGTACCATTAAGCGTGTATGTCCACGTTGTGTGTTTTAAATGCTGTTGACTTAAGGCTTCATTCAGGGCGTTTTAGGTAACATCTGTGGTGAATGAGCGGTGTCCCTGCTGCTCCATGAATCCTCAGGTTACCATAGACTGCAAGCCTCCTCTTAAAGTGAACTTAAACACAACTTGCTAAAAATTCTTCTGTTCACAGCAAGACCTAGAGAGCAGCAATCCTCGCCAGCCACCTTGGCTCCGTCACAAGTGACATCGCCTGCCACAATCTCATACCTCATGTGACACAAAGCTTAGCTTAGGAAGAGTCCCATGGGTCCTGGGACTAGTAACTCCCTTGATTCTGAAGGTTTGCTCACTCTACCAAGTGCCTTATTTTGTGACTTGTATTTGATTAATAGTGTAAACTATGATGAAGAGAAATTTTAAGAAAAAAATCATATTAGATCTTGAGTGACATTGACAAGCAAACCCAAGGTCAGGTACTGTTCACTGAAGGTGACCTTGGAGGCAGGCAGGCTACTACTGTGCACCTTAATTCTGTAGTATTTAAGGGAATGTAGACTTAGGATATGGGATCCTATAGAAGCAGGACTAATGTCCAAATCAGACATTAGTGAAAATACCAGGAGGTTCCCTTGACCTTTGTTCACATGTTCTTCCTGTCTCTTTAAAGCATGAGGCCCAATATTTTTCTGGGCGTCAGTGAAGGGTCTGCTCAGTATAAGAAGTGGTACTATGAGCTCATGGTGGACCACACCGAGCCATTCGTGACAGCAGAAGCGACTCACCTGAGAGTGGGCTGGGCTTCCACCGAAGGGGATTCTCCCTACCCCGGAGGGGGTGAAGAATGGGGTGGCAATGGTGTCGGTGATGACCTCTTCTCTTACGGATTTGATGGCCTTCATCTCTGGTCAGGTAGGCACCATCCACTTTCTTTCACCAATTTTCAGATGGAGATGTTGTGACCCTGCTGTGTGTTTCTGAAAGGTATGGCTGTTGCTGCTTCTGGGGACATGTATTATTCAGAAGTTTAACATTGAGATGATGAATAAGAGGGCTGAGTAAAACAGCACAATTGCACCAGGCAAAAAGAAAATGGTTACAGTTATAGTACATTTCCTGTGTTTAAGATGTGGCATTCCAATGCATGAGTGAACTGCAAAAGACTTGTGTGTTTCCAGCTTACTTTAATTACCATGTGCAAAGATTTGGCTTCCAGTGCAAAAAATACCAAAAAAAAAAAAATCCTGGAAAATAGAAGAATGAGGCCGGTTCGGCCTCCTGTAAGAGAAAGTAAAGGCAGGAATCAGTAATCTGTAAAACTGTATGAGGAGACCATTTGTGATGAAATAGCTCTTTGCTTCAGAAGTTTAGAAAAAATAAAAATAAACGTATACCTCATGTCACCAGCTACCAGTTCTCAGTTTTGATGCTTGAGTATGTATTAAAAGTGAGCACTAGGCTTGGAAAATAATAACTGTCTTCTCTGCTTCATAATGAGGTATAATTGGGTTGACATAAAAGTTCAGCTCTTGCTTCTGAGATTTTTTTTTGAGGTATTTGTATTCGTCTGGATTCTGTACACATATACTTGGGCTCAGAAAGCTGCATTTAGAATAAGTCCCAGCATGACTTTTATTTTGCAAAGCATTGACTATATAGAACTTACACAAATTTATCTTATGTTTTAAAACTAAACTTTGTCTCATGGTTGCAAGTGATACTTGTGTAATAATAATGCAGCAGAGGCCTAATAACTTACGAAAAAAGACTTAAAGTGAACTAAATCCAAGAATTTATCGTGATGAGTTCACAGCCTAAAAGCCTTCCATGTACCTGTATCCTAATAGTTATTGAATTTCTCTTTTACTCAGTGCCAATAGCTCAGTTGTCCAGAAGAGAGGACGCTTATCTAACCACTTGGCACTGTGGTTGGGGTCCTCCAGTAGTGTGTATTGTCTGTATCCAGGTCCACTCTTCTAGTCAGATGATACCCACAACGTATTGTTCCCATAGTAACATTAAATTTCCTGTGGACCAACCAAGCTGAAAGCCAACAGGAAACTTCAGGAGGTTTGGCAAACACAAACAAGGCTAACGTCTACTTTATCATCGTGTTACCTATAACCCTTCAGGAATTATCACCTTCTCTAGCTCTTGGTATCACTTTGTGGGAAAGAGGTACTCAAGAGCATGAATGAAGCACGTTAACTATTTTCCCCTTAGGCAGAAATTAGGGGAGAAAGCCTTACTCTGGTAAGACAGTGCTGAAATGCTCAAATACATGCTTTGCCATTTTTGGTTTTGTAATCGGTGGAACTTTTTCTTTCAATATATTAAAAAACCTAGTGTTTATGGAGTTGAGCTGTGTGTATCATGACTTTTGTTATAAAATAGCTGTGAAATAGAACAATAAGAACAAAAATCAGTGAATTTATATACATGTCACAGGAAAGATGGTAGATTGTGGAATTTCAGGAAAAAGTATCTTGAAACTTCATTGTCTAAAGAAAATATTTTTCCATTTTTCAAAAACAGCAAAGAACTGTGCACCTTACCATGTCTGTAGCTAGAAGGTATGCTGTCTCCAGCCCTTAGATTTTATCACATGCTTTGCTAATTTTGGGTTCAAAGTTAACAAAATAAATCTAAATTTACTGAAGTCTGACTGAGTTACCAAGGTCCAACTAATAGTAATTTTGATAATGTCTTTGAAGTTATTCCTTTTTTTTTCTTTTTAATGGTTAAAATATCAAATATTAGTGATTTCTAGGACAGAGCCCATGTTTTACCAGTGAACATTTTGTATTTAGAGAGTAAAGATGTTTCATAGAACCAGAATTTGGGTCAAAATCAAAAGTCTTGAGCAAAGTCCTCATTTATTCTTTCACTTTAAACACTGTGGCTAACTGGGCATTCCTGATGTTTAAAAAGAGTGGAATGTGAAAGATCTTTATGCTTTTAGAGCATGTGATCATAGACAAAGGATGGTGGAATGTCACAGCATTCATAGTAAAGGAAAGATCGACACAGATTTCACATCCAAGAGCTGTGCAGCCAGCCACCTGTTACTCGCTTGCTCTCTGGCTAATGCAGACTAGAAATGCAGTTCTGGAGTGGATTCAATATGAGTTCACATAAGTGCAGCCTGAAAATTGTACCAAGTGACTTCAACACTGGAAGTGCCACTCAAACCTTGGCCTCTGCTTGTTCCCTAGTGGTCTTTACCTTCTGTGTCATTTTCAGACATTGCAAAGAGTTGACTGTGGTGACTGTTGGATGGTTTATAGCATTAGCATAATAGCTGTCCCTAAGCACAATGATGGGAGACCCTATCCCTAAAATAACTGAAACAAAAAGGGCTGGGGGCATGGCTTAAGTGGTGAGCACCTGCCTGGCAAGCACAAGGCCCTAATCAAACTCCAGTACCACCACCAATAACGATAAGAATGATAATAGTTATAATAGTCCCCAAACTGAGCAATATATTTGGGTTATAGTCAATACTTGTTTTCATTATAAAAGTAAAACATATTTGTTTTTTGAACTCAGGGCCTACACCTTGAGCCGCTCCACCAGCCTTTTTTTGGGGGAAGGGTTTTTTCCAGATAGGGTCTCAAGGACTATTTGTCCAGGCTGGCTTCGAACTACAATCCTCCTGATCTCTGTCTCCTGAGTAGCTAGGATTACAGGCATGAACCACTGGCCCCCCAGCCTAAAATATTTTTACTCATTATTAATTAGCTAATTAGTTAATAGACCTCTTCCATGGGCTACATTGTTGTTATCTCATTTTTTAAAAAGCCACCTTATATTCAGGGAATCTTAGAAGAACCAGTTATTGCTTTGCAGATTTGAATATTGGTAAAATGAAAAAGTGCCCACATTTTGAACTCTTGAGAGTATCTACGACTGGCATTTCGAATCTGTTCTTGGTAAAAACCTTTGCATACTAGAAATACAAAGAGGTGCTATAAAAATACAATGCAAAAGTATCACGAAATCTATCTTTGTCTGCTCCACATGAGGGGTTCCTTTGCGCTTGTAGCATGTGTAGGTGGGAGGTCCTGACCTTCCTCTCTCCAGGGTGCTATGGGAAACAGAGGCCCTTGGGACTCATTAGCAGAAGAGTTCTGGTAGGGCAAAGAATGGACCAAGACCATGGGTTGGCCAGAGGAAGGAATGACATTTACCAAATATCATTTTCATGCCCCCAATTGTATCCTGCTGTACTTCAAAAGCCAACCAAGTTCTTATGTAAACTAAATTCAATTATAAAACAAAAGCAAACTGGCGTATAATTGTCTCATAATAAGCAGCATGCTGCAAGAATAAATCACCACCTGCTGATTTCATTATCCTTATTTTTATTTTGGATTTATAAAACAAAGAGGACTTTGAGAAAGAACTGACGTGAAGTGCCTGCCATGCCTGACACTGTATTACTTGTTAACAACTGATTTAGCCACGGTAACGATTCTAGAAGGTGGTGTAGTATTTGGTGCTCTGTTCTGAAGAAATCAAGGTTTGGAGAGGTTAAGCAATTTGCACAGGGTTGTCGAAGTAGAAACCCTCTACTTGGAAAGAAAACTGTTTGATCTTTTCCTAAAAGTTTTCCTCTGATATTATTATAATACTTACTCTAAGATAACTTCTGCATCAGATACCATCCATCCACACGCAGAAATTTCTGTATATCAGAAAGTCCATTTCCTACCAAAGCAGCTTGGTTCCTGAAAAAAGAGCAGGACATTGTTTTTTGACATTAATTTACATAGGAGGTTTAGTCCATTTAATGCTGTGTTTTGGATTGTCACTGTTCAGTCCATTTATGGTGACTCACAGGTGACTTTCTGCAAGGAAAGCACATTACTTCCCTTACATTTCTCCCCATAGGTTGTATCGCGCGTACTGTAAGCTCACCAAACCAGCACCTGCTGAGGACGGATGATGTCGTCAGTTGCTGCTTAGATCTGAGTGCCCCCAGCATCTCCTTCCGCATCAATGGGCAACCTGTTCAAGGAATGTTTGAGAACTTCAACATCGATGGCCTCTTCTTTCCAGTTGTTAGTTTCTCTGCAGGAATCAAGTTAGTATGTCTTTCTTTTCTGGTCCTCTACGTCCACACAAGACTCTGACCCGCCTCACTCTGCTTCTCCCACCTTTGTTCCTTCCTCCTGGGCTGGGTATCCTGGAGGAGGAGGCAAGGTCCACCCAGGAGAGACTTTTGGGGTCCCACGCATTCATTGTACCATTTCGCTCTGGGTGGAGATGATCCCTCACACCAGTGCCCCCAAATATTTCAGGTCCCTTTCTCAAGGTCACAGTGCTGTTTAGTAAGGGGGAAATGAATACTGCAATATCACTTATTTTCTTGTATGTATTTTATTGTTTCCTTTTTCCCTTACCACAGTTCCCCAGACTCCCCCAAGCCCCTCACTGTAAGGAAAATAATGTCCTTTCTTTTGATAAAGTCCACCTGGCTCCTTTTGATGTCCCCTTCCCCCACTTCCCTTCACTGTGGATTTTCTGCCTGCAACTGTGTCCACATGGTTTCCTGTCTTCCCGTTTCTTCTATTACCCGAGGGAAAGAAATTAACATTATAATTCATTGGTATTCTACAAATAAGACCTTAGTGCATGATGGTCTGTCACAATTGACCACATTGTGGTCTATTTTATTTATATATTTAACTAACAAGAGTCACTCCCTTATTCCTACTGACTATCCATTTATTTTGGTTATTCTTTTAGTAATAACTCTCCTCCCAGGAATAACCCCTTGTCACAAAAGCACCATATCAAAGAACAGAGTAATCATGAAATATTAGCTATTCATGTACTGCTCACCTTGTCTGGTATAGTTATATAAATTATGTTTCTTTCTATAAGTTTCTGAATTATTCTGAAGTTTTAAGTTTTTCCCACTTTTTGCTCTGGGTTTTTTCTTTTTATTTACTTTGGTATGGGTCTAAAACACAAATTAGAAAAGGAATTATAAGGAAAAAGAAAAAATCTAAAAATACTTTTGTAAGCTGAGTGCCCCAAGAATTTGATATCATTTAGCTATTTCAAAAAGTGCTTTATTCAATGAAACTTGGATTAAATTAATTAATTAACTATGATATGCATAGTATTTCAGTCAGTTCTCTTTTCTTGTTGTTACAATTGACAAGCAATAAAAAATAAGGTTGCCTTGGGCTGGGGGACATAGTTCAAGTGACGTGTCTAGTCAACACTAGGCCCTGAGTTCAGAACCCCAATGCCCCCAAGAACTAAGGTTGCCTTACTTTTTCAGCAAATGGACGTCACACGTGAGTCCTCCTTAAGGAATTTCATTAGTAATTTGGGCACTGGAAAAATGAGTGTATTTTTCCTTAAACCTAGTCCACCCTGCGATTTTAAACATGCAGGTGACTAAATCATATGTCCTTTTTGTCCGCATGTTACTTAGGCATCTTAGGACATTAAATGACCGAGCACATGGAAATACAGGCTTTATATATTTTTCGTGTCTTTCTAGTTTAGCAAGTGCCATGTCTTCAGTGACCACTGACGAATATTAACTAGGTTTTATCGTTTGATTGACAAGAAGTGCTCACATTTTGCCTCTTACGGTCGAAACTCTTAGATCCTTACACTTACCGCGTAAGTGTGCTGGGGGAGATGTGGCTTCTGAGAAAGTTAATATCGTAGTAATAACTTTTCATATTGGTTTGCTGATTAGGAAACTTTCACGTATGTGCCTTCTTTCTAGGGTACGGTTTTTGCTTGGGGGGCGACATGGAGAATTCAAATTCCTCCCTCCACCGGGCTATGCTCCTTGCTATGAAGCTGTCCTGCCCAAAGAAAAATTGAAAGTGGAACACAGTCGGGAGTACAAGCAAGAAAGGACGTACACTCGAGACCTGCTGGGCCCCACGGTGTCCCTTACCCAAGCTGCCTTCACACCAATCCCTGTGGACACCAGCCAGGTAGCGAGGGCAGCTGTGGTGGCCGTTGCTTGCACTGCAGTTATCCTGATTCACAGTGGCTTCAAGCTAGGATTGAGCTAGGACGACAGCCCACAGGGACGCCTTTCCCAGTAGTGCCACCGATGTGTCTGTTTGAAACAAGTGTTATAAAATACTGCTCTCTTACAATCTCCTCTCACCTGGTTCCATTCCGTTTCTTTTTAAAAATAGAGTTGTCCCAATCCACTGAATTGATTTCTTAATATATGATGGGGTCATAACCTCACGTTTTCAAAAACACTGTTCTGGATTGTCATGAAAGTTTTATTAAAATAGCTAAAATTATTTAGTGCTACACTTTGCGAAAAGCAGACATTAGTAGCAACAGGTGACACTTGTGAAATTATAAAAGTGACTTTAGGTGTAATAGTGTCATGATGGTTTCACATCTGGGGTGATGTACTGTACTTGAAATTATATATTGATGTCATACATACCAGTTTTAAAGTATACTTTTTTACATAGTTGGACATGGAGTTTTTAATTTGTTCTCCTACACAGAGACAGTTATTATGTTAATGATATTTAACTGATCTTTATCTTGGATGGAGATTGAGGTTATGGGCTCCAAGGCAAAATGCCCAGGATGAAATGCCCACTCTGGGACTTTGGGGAAGGTAGGGATGCCAAAAACACGTCTGAAAAATAGATGACACATTACTTTGTAAATAGACATCCAAGGAATGTCAGCCATTGTCCATGCGTTTCTGTTTCCTAAGGTTGATGGTGAATTAAATGCTGCTTTATTTGGATGGAGAAGTAACATCAGTGAGGGTGGCTCGCTATTCAAAGTTGCTAGTTTTTGAAAACGGAAGACATTTCTAAAGTTGGAAGTTGACTTACTCCCAGTAGAATGTCAGCAACCACTTATTTCCTTGAATGAAAGTCGGTATTTTTTAACCACACAGATGTTTTAGGCTAGGTAGTTAAAATACATATACAGGCATTGTTCAGTGCTAGACTTTAGTTTCTGTTGTCCACTGCTAGAAGGTGGCAGGATATGTCTCGTGCCACCTAAGTCAATCATGAAACACAACTGGAGGATAGAAATTGGCACCTGGATTTGCAGTGGTAGCAAGTGGAGATGGCGGGAGACCAGGATGTCTGCTCACCTTTAGGGAGAGGATGCAGTGACAGCTCCCCTGTGCCACCTCATCCGGGGGCATTTTAGACGTTTGTCCTGTCAGGGGACTATTTATGTGGGCATGCAGAAGGACTTTTATCAAGATGGAAAAAAGCATACTTTCCTTGTAAATCCCCCTGTATTCTTTATGAAGAGGTCATTAAAAGAGTCTTTTCCCTTGAGGCATTATATTTGGAAACTACTGAAAGTAACAGAGCAGGGTTCAGGGAAAACATTAATCACCATAGTCAGACATCTAGAGGCTCAAGGAGCCAGTGAATTAGAACTTGGCACTGGCTTGCCTTCATCCTGGCCTATGGGTGCAGGCCAGGTGAGCCTAAGGGCACTGGGGTGATTTCTCTTTTTAAGTAATGCACTCTTTGGTAGCTGTCCCATGTGCAGTCAGCATCTTTCAGCTGTCTTCACTGACACCATTTGCTTTCTTCATTAATTTACTTGGAAGCAAAAGTTGTCACAAAAAAATCCCAAAGTTTGCCAAAGAATACCATGAACGTGCTGGCATAGAACCTACTTCTGTGATTAGGTTTTGACGCTTTATGGCAGTGTGATTTAGTTAAATTCACAGAGGGGATCCTGGCACCACTGCATCTGCTTCTGCATCTGTTTCTGATGTGTGTTTTCTTTTTCTTCTTTTAAATTGTAGATCGTGTTGCCTCCTCACCTAGAAAGGATAAGAGAAAAACTGGCAGAGAACATCCACGAGCTCTGGGTCATGAATAAAATCGAACTTGGCTGGCAGTATGGTCCGGTACATAATTTTGAAACTTATTTTCAGATTCCATTAATATATCTTTGGAGTGACATGAGTAAGTTAGATTGATTTCCTGTTGATACATATCTAGAGGGACCAACAATATTGGCAGACTCTTTGTGAGATGGCTTAGTTGCTTCGAAAATGGAATCTTTGGGCTGAAAGTTGTGTTTTCAAATCAAGGTTAACATTGACAATGCACACTGGTTTCCAAGTCAGTTCTTAAAAACTCGATGAAACTACAAGTAGAAGCTAAAACATAAAGAAGGAAGTCATTTGTTTTTCCTCTCTGATGTCAGCCGCTCAGTCCAGGTTGTGTGGCAGCAGGAGGCCTGTAGACAGATGCTCCTGGTTGGTTCATGATTAGAGAATAGGTTGGCAAATAATAATTGATCCTGTTTGCAAACACTTAAAGATCTTAGCTTATAATTTGTCAGTGAAACTCAGATTAAACAACTTCCAATGTCATCCCAGTGTACCGTGAACCTGTTTTTAGAGGACATTGATAATACTTTCATTTTATAGTATTGGTGTTCTAAATATCCCCAAGCTTGAAATGCCGTTTCATACTTGACGGAATATAGAAACCAGTGTATTTGTCCACATTGTAGTTTATGGCATTGAGCTCTGAATGAGGACTGTTTATCTTCAGTGTCAGGAGTAACACTGCCTGAGACCCCTGTCCTCTGTAGTGGATGTACGTTGAGCAATGGTGTTTTCACACATGGAGAATATTAGGTTGGTTTGGGATAGCGTGCACTGGATTATGTTGTTATTTCACATTTTCTACTACAGAGTTGTTGAAGGACTTGGTAGAAGGACTGGAACCCAGGTGTTCTATCTCCTGGTTTAAAGCAGTTTTCATATAAAATTTGCTGAAGCCTGGCCTGGAAATGAGGTCCTTTCGTTGACAAAATGGTGGTTAGACATTTGTCATATCAGCAAATGCTGAGTATCTAGTTTTGTGCTACATTCACTGACTCAAATCCATTAAATGGACAAGTTCTAGATAAAAGATTGAACCATCAACTAAAATCAGTATGGCGAGAGATAATAAATGTGAACATAGTCAGTTGCCAGAGGAATTACAGACAATATTCACCAAAGGTGTTGAGACAAGGGAAGATGAAAGCTTGCTGGTCTCAGTGTGGAGCGTGTAAGCTCCTACATGACCATGTTTTTCAGTGAAGTCTCGGTCTGTTTCTTTTCAAACTGACAGAAATACAAGGTCTCATTCCTATCCATTCTACCAGTTCAGTTCATTTCCGTTTAATACCATACAGGCTATTCCTGCTACATTTAAAGCATCCTGAGCTTCCAGATACAGAAGAGACAGGGCCTCAGGACGCCTCACAGTTGTCTCCAGTCACCTCGTTTGGTCCAAGGGGTTTGAAGCACCTTTGAGCTTCATGTGTCCCCAGGGCACAGCCAGAGTCCCGGCCTCTGCTAGCTTGCTGGCACTGCCTCTTTCCTGAGGCCAGGACAAAATTCACCAACCACTTGCTTATGGGATGAAGCAGTTGTTTTCCCAGTGCCCATCCCTGGCAAGCTCTGCCGAGGTTCTGTATCAGCAACTTGGGAGAATCTCAAAGTGACAGATGAGAGGATTTCACATCCTCCGTTCATGGAACAGATGACTGAAGTCCTCCAAGTTACTATTCAACACCTTCCCTTATAATTCTTTGTGTTACCTAGTACAGTTCCTGGCCCAGCATCTCTATTATTCTTGACTAAGGTAGGTGCCTGTGACTAGGCTAATTCCACAAATTTGCTGGTCCTTCAAATAAGGTTTTGAAATATTCAAGTGTGCTTTTCTTTGGAGTAACCTGTGCTTAGCTCTCCATGTTTAGCATGTTGAATTATTTTTCTACGATGAAGTTGTGGTTTCTGTGGACTACCTTTCGCAGGAGCATCATGAAGGGCTCTACTTTGTAGAATAACATCACACAGATCCATTCTGTCCCTTGTCTGTCACTTTAACATGCTCCACATGCCTGCTGTTTGCCTGTTTGTGCTTGGAACTGGAGACTCAAAGTTGGGAAGACGTTGACTTTTGAGTACTGCATTTGCCTTATAGAAGGCTCCTATTTAGTTTGTGATCTACGTGCGAAGATCATAGAATGAAAACATGCTTAGTTCTTTCCTGGACAATTAGGGAAGATTCCAGAGGACGTAACTGTTAGATCTAAGGCAGGAAGTATAGGATAGCGATTAACTTTCATACTTAGAGAACAGGGCTATACTCTTGACATAGCACAGGTAAAAATGAGGAGGTGGACATTTGCAGTGACATTTCAGTAGCACAGCATTGCCATGGGATAGAGAACAGGGCCGTGGTGCAGAGTAGAGCTGGGAAGTCTGGCCATGAGGGCGGGAGGTCTGTCTTGGGCAGTATAGTTTTATTCTCTAGAGGACAAAAGAGCATTTAAGAATGCTGAGAAAGAAGGTGGCACTTGTGAATGTGAAAGAGCAAGAGTGTCGAGGGCAGGAGGAGGGCAGGGAGAGGGTGCAAAGCAGGGCAGAGGTGTGTGTGGGAGTTCCACTCTCATGCCTGCCTGGCAATGGAGACAGTGGAGTGTGATTACAGTGGGGTTGGAAGGGTGTAATTACAGGAGATGTGTCAGAGTTCAAGTGTGAATGCAGTAAGGGAGGGAAGGACCTGGGCGGGGTTCAGTTTCTTCCTGGGGCAGGTGAAGAGGGTGATACTGGCCTTCTCTGGTCAGAGAATAAAGGGGAAGTGGACGCCTACAAACAAGGAGGGCATTACCTGCAGACTCTGACACATTCTTTTTCCTTTCATATTTGGCATTTAGGGTTAGGGATTTAGAGTTAAATTTTGTAACTCACTTCACTTATATGTCCTATTCATTTCTAATGATCACACGAAAGAAAGGAATAAAGATGTAATTTCAAACTTGGAGAGTCATGAAGACCTTCAAAAAAATTCTCACTCATGTTTGCATACTTCTTTTGTGGCATTTATAGGACCTGGTAATTGCTCCCATGGAGTAATTTGGTTTCTGACAGCATATGGCTGTCATCGAGGTGCCACCATGGCAGTAATGCCTATGCAATTTAGGTCTCTACCACGATAAAAATAAAAATAAAAATCTAATTACTAAGGCAAGGATAGAGAACATCTTTCTCATTAATTCATCCCTAAAATCTTGACTTTAATGTGTTGGCTGTAATACAGTAGGCCCTCCATTATCTTTGGGATCTACATAGATGCAACCAACTGCCCACCAAAAAAATTCAGAAAAAAATTTCAGCTGTACAGAACAGATAAAGAGTTCTTTTTTTTTTTGCTATTATTCTTAAGCAATACTATATACCAACTGTTTATATATAACATTTACATTGTATCAGGTAGTGTAAGTCATCTCTATAGGAGTTCACAGGTTCACAGGTTATTTGCAAACACTAATACCATTTTGTTGAAGGGATGTATGCCTCCTTAGGTTTTGAAATGTGCTGAGTCCTGGAACCAATTTTCTGTGGACACAGAGGAGTAACTGTATACACGTTCATGGATTACTATGAAAATACCTTTATTCTGCATTTCATTAGTGGAGTGGTTCATGAGAGCAGAAAGTGACTTACAAGGTATAAAATGAATAACCACAACTACCCCAAAGAGTTCATAGTAATGCTTATTAATACCTCTCACTAGTTTGCTCTGAAGAGAACAGTTAGTACAAATTAATACCAAGTCTTTACCATATCTTCTTACCCAGAATTCATTCAATTTATGAAACATTTGCTCAATTTATGAAATATTTGTTGAGTGTCTACCACGTGCCAGCTATGTCCTAGGTGTTTGGAATACATGAAGAGAAAAAAGAGACCCAAATCCTTGCTCCCATGGTGTTACCAAGGAATAGTGCAGGGGGGCAGACAGTAACCCAATAAATAGGGGTCCAGGTGGTTAGTAGGTGGTAAGTCTTATGGACAAATTGTTAAAAATGTAGGGTGGATGGGCAGATTGCTAAATTGGGAAGGTGGGTGGTAAGCCTCAGGGAGAAAGGAAGATTCCTGCAAATTCTGGAAGAAGTTGAGTGACGTAATGTGGGTTCTGGAGGGGAGCTGGCATGGCAAAAGGGCACTGGGACCAAGGTGTGAGCTGTGCCACAGAGAAGAGAACAGGGAGCACAGAGGATCCAGCCTTTACCATTGGCTGTGATCTTTGTTATCAATGGGTCCCTGGAGATTCTAGAAGACCCGTAGGGCGAGGTTCTGGTGTTCCTTCTTACTTCCCACCTCCATTGTTCACCACAGTTAAATCAGCATTGCTCACGTTTGACATTGGAGACTGTTACATGCTGATTTCCTGTGTTTCAGGTTAGAGATGACAATAAGAGACAGCACCCGTGTCTGGTGGAGTTCTCCAAGCTACCTGAGCAGGAGCGCAATTACAACTTACAGATGTCTCTTGAGACCCTGAAGTGAGTTTCTAAATGTTTTGTGTTTTCTAATCTTCCTCACCTGAAAGAAGCCAGTTGTTGTACACTCTATTTCAGTGATGAAGCTAGTTGTAGTCCAGATAGGAATTTCCATAATGCACAGGTGGATGAGATCAGTATTTGTTGGGAGTTTGACTTTGACCCTATTATTTTACATGCTTTTGCTCTATGTCAGAATTTCCCAAATGGTGAATTACAGAATATGAGGGTTTTGTGACCCACCAGTACTATTGAGAGTATGATCCAGGAACCAGGCCAGTCACAAACTGTCATTGGATGGTGATGAGATAAATATGGATATTAAGAATAAGTGTTTCTAAATTTCATACCAGTTTTTAAGGGAGAAATGTTTTCCTATTAACTTAATAAATTAAAAATGTAGGCACACATCTGTCTTCATTTTGAGACTTTAACTTTCTTTACAATTCTATTGTATTTTATCAGAGAATCAGATCATGACAGACTGGAAATTGAAAAAAAAAAAATTAGTCCTTTACCACAGATATTTTGAAAAGCCCTGATCTAATGTAGTTTAGAGATGTGGTGTTAAGATAGTTAGGTTTTCGGTTTTGCGGATGGACTTCTCAGAACTTCGATATGTAACTGTGTACTGTCAGCCTCTGAAATGTGGTAAAGTCAGTTTGTGACTCTTATAAATTTATTTAACCACAGCACCCCTTTTTTCCAGGGAGAACCTGTGTATCTTCACAGTGTACTTTGGGCTATTTTATATCATCTTGGAATGGCAACTTTGCTTTCCAATGACTGCCTGCCAATCAATTGATCTCTTGAATTTGCCACCTTCTTTTTCAGATGGAAGAATGGGGCTGGGTAGAATAAATAAAGGAATATAATTTCAACTTTATATAGAAAAAGTTCAGAAAATAATTTTGAAAATGTGTAACCTTTTGTTTTGGGCTTCCATTCCATTCTGATGTCCTGTGGAACTGATTTTGTTCAAATAGGTCACTTTACCTTAACATGTCTTTATATTTGTCTTTTTTTTGTTGTTGTTGGATTCCATTTGGTTAAGAGCAAGGAATAATTTCCATTGTAGCCATTTTGCCAAAGCATAAAACTTAAATAACATTTCACATTCTAGAACATGGGCTTAGGTCATACATTGCATCCTCAAAGAGATTAATAGCATAGAAATAAACAAATAGAAACTTAAGAGGAGGAGAGTATACAAATCAAGAAAAATAAGGAACCTACTAAAGGTGCAGATGGTCTGTGCCTTGCCACACCCCCTGGGTACTGTGTTCAGTGCTGTCTTCCTTTTTAGTCCTGACATGAGTTCTACGCAGTTAGTTCTGTAATTCATGGTAACTCATTATTTCCCATCTTTTACAACATAATTTAGTTAAATTTGTAGTGTACTCCTTATCATTTTTGGATTGACTGCTAGGCCAGCTACTGCAGGGTAAATCCTGGCACATGGAGATCCCTATATTTGCATTTCATAGGCTGGACCTTTGACTGCTGAATATAATCTAATCTCCTTCCCAATAGCGACTGCTGATGTTTTGATTTTTCATGAGATGCCTGTGTCAGGGTGTCAGTCCCTATGGTGAAGGCAAATGGCCCTTTTCATGAGCTGATTCTTTACTTTCTTTGTTGTTTCTTATACATTTATATGGTTTGATGGTGAAGTGATTTCACCTGTTTCTTTAAAAATCAAATTAGAAAAAGTCTTACTGCTCCCAAATTTATACTTTGTCCAGTTCCAGTAGCTAAAGGAAGCACAGTACTGTCCCGTGTCCTTTGTTCATTTATTTAGTTGGTCACCTGCAGAGTAGATCCTCTGGAGTTGGGTATTCATGACTCAGTGACCTGCCCCACCATTGGGATCTTGCTGAGTGACTCGACTTCTCTGCGTCTTAGGGTTTCTTCTTTTCAATTGAGTGGAGATCAGAATTTATTCATGTCATGGAATTATCCTGGGGTCTAAGTGACAGAGTTGATAAGGCCTTCAGCGCCCTGTGTCTGGCAGAGGGAGTACATGCTAGCTTTTTGTTTGTTGGCTTCACCGTACATCACAAGGGGGATGAACAATTTTATGTGTTTAAATCCTGAGAAGTGGCAAATAACAAAATAAGCAAGAAATTCTCCCAGAATATCTCTCGTTTTGAGTTATTTATTGTGAAGATAAATTTTGAATTCTCTTCTATGACTTTCCTCTCATGTAAATTGGTCACAAAGACAACTTCCTTTAGACCTGGCTTGTCATCTGTGTATTGTGAGGGGATCTGACACCTTCTTCAGACAGTGCATGTCGTCAGGTGTCCTCATGTGTAACTTTTATTGAAATTCCACTCTCTACTTTCATTTTCAGTCCACATGATATTTTCCACAACCATGGTCTTAATTTATGAATTAATAGCTCATGGTTTGGAAATTAATATTACAATGATGTTTAATCAGTGTCCTTTTGTAGAATGTTTCTTTGGAAGTTGACACATTCTATGTATGTGGAAACAGCAGTGACTGGCTGAGTCTTTTTTGGCTTAAAATTATTTGTAGGAAATGTGGTGTGTTTGTGCACATATGTAGGGGAGGAAGGGAGGAATACAGGGACCGTGAGGAGAACAATACAGAAGGACAAAAGGTAACAGGTAAAGAAAAGGCAGAGTATTTGTCTAAAAGGCCAGGTTTAACCTAAACTTTTGTACCTTTTGTTGTTGTCTCTTGCTGGCAATAATTTTCCCAGGGCTTTTCCTCTGAGACTGTCCACCCCGTGAAGTCAGGGCCATGACTTCTACCCATATTGGAGGGCAACCTGCTGTATCCATGTCCATTTTTTGGAAAGGGAGATGAGGTCTTTATTAGCCTCCAGAGCATTTTTCAATATTGAGGCAAAAAAGTAAAATGTAGGGACAAGGAAAACCAAGCACAAAGATGGATTTATCAGGGCCCCCAGCGCTTACCAGGGATGTCCAGCAGAGACATTGTCTTCATGTCCAAGGGCAAGGATAGGTGAGGAAGACTGCTTTGTTCCATTAATCTAGGCCCAACCACCCGAGCCCACACGGAAGAGAAGCAGAGCTGTGAGGTCAGGCTGGGAGGGTTAGAACTTGGTGGTACCTATACCCCATCACCTCTTCTCTCTCCGGCCCCACAGACACACAGACTGGCTTTTGTAGATTGTCCACATTGTCCCCAACTTGGGACAGTCTGCCTCCTTTCAACTACGTGTTCATTTCCACACATCTTCACTTTGGAGGTATTAATTATGCTTATTGGAATAAATCAGAGTTACTTCTACATTGTAACTTTCCTCACTTTGAACCTTATTTGATTTATTATAATCATTCATTGTGGACTTTTTTTTAATTTTGATTTTTTATTTATTTTTATGTTTTGGTGGAACTGGGGCTTGAACTCAGGGCTTCATGCTTACAAAGCAGACACTACTGCTTGAGCAAGCACTGTCAAACAGAAACTTATGATTGGTACCTTGTACAAGGTAAAGTACCTCGTAAACAGGACGAACTAGTTCCATATTCATACATTTATATCTTTATGCAGTCCTGGGTTGTTATGTCCACTGTCTTTGTGAGCTGAAGTGACAATTTTTTACATATTTTCCAGTGGTACCAGGGTCATGAGGCTGAGTTAATTAGGACTGAGTAGGTCATGGCATAGTTTGCAGAAGGCTTGGCTCTGTCTTATAAGCCCTTAAAAAAGATGACATGAACCAATTGAATTTGGAACAGTTCAGTCCCAATTTTGATATCTGCACACCATGTGACTGTAGGTCTCTCAGTGTGGACCTTGTCAACTACCTTTGGGAAGTGTAATGTTGGGGTTCTCACCTGCAATGGTAGTAGCTGTTGAAATATTCATGAATGACCAATGTTTGCTACCAACTTTTACAGATTGGCCTGGGAAAATGCATCGTAATTAGAAGATTTCTTGGTGGGCATGTAATCACAGGTTTAGCTGCCTGAATTTAAGCTAAATAATTATTGTCAACCTCCAGTTCCTTCAGGACTGGATTTGGCATCACTACTTCATATAGATTTCTCCATGTCTCATTGCACCCATACTTCAGTTAATATCTCTATCTAATCTAATCTATCTATCTAATCTATCTAATCCATCTATCTAATCCATCTGTCTATCATCTATATATCTCATCCATCCATCTATCCATCCATCCACCCAACCACCAACCACCCAACTACCCACCCACAAACATATCTACCTATCTATCTATCTGTCAGTCATCTCTCCATCCATCTGATACACATTAAGACAGACAACCATATCCGTGGATATCTACTTAAGGAGAGAGACACCCAGATAAGTGGTAGTGTATGTAATATATATATATACAATATATATATATATATATATATATATATATATATATTTATATATATATTATATGACATTAAATGTGTGAGATTATTCATTGTAGCATTATTTATAATAGTCAAATACTAAAACTTTCCTTGAAGACTATGGAAAGAAAATTGGTCAAAAACATTTTACAAACATGTTAAAAAAACAAACCAGTTGTATCTGAAAGGACAATGTTAGGAAGGTTATAATGTTATGTAAAAATAGCAAATTGTAGAGAAATATCTTTTGTATACCCATTTGTGTACAAGGTAAAAATAGCAGGAGCACACACAGCAGAAGACACATGCATGGAATTCAGCATATGCACAGAGGCCCTCCAGTAGGATGCAGAAGAATTTGTAGCAGTTGGTGCCTTTGAGAAAGGGAAGAGAATGGAAAAGGGTTGAGGGAGGCTTATATTTTCAGGATATTTCTTTTTGTTCAATTTCAATTTGAAGTCCTACCCTTTTCTTAAGAGTAAATAATTTATAGGTAAATAAGATTTGCTTTAAAGACAAAAGGCCTGGACTCTGCTTTCACAATGCAGCGTTGTATGTCATTCCTCCTGAATTTGGTCTGTTGTGGACACAGGAAGGGATTCTTGCATCTTATCTCTGTTTGTGTCTTCCAGGACTTTGTTGGCGTTAGGATGTCACGTCGGCATATCAGATGAACATGCTGAAGAAAAGGTGAAGAAAATGAAACTACCCAAAAAGTAAGTTGAATGACTTGGCACTATCAGTACTGGTGTGTAGAATAACTGTGATGGGGACTTACTGCTGTGAAATGTAGATCCAAAAGGTAAACAAGCTGAGTTACACCAGGGCTACTTCACATCTGTGGTGGGACTGTAGACTGTGCAGAGAGAACAATCAAAGCTCAGAGTATATTTGGTTGTGTGCTGTAGTAAGTATGTGATTTTTCCAAGTGTGCGTGTGAAGGTCGTGTGCGTGTGACCATGCATCCATGCTTCTAACTGATTATATATCACTTTTTCTTTCCTACCAAAAATTGTTTCTAATTTTATTTGCTTTTATAAAGAAAACATACTTGAGGAATAATTATGCATCAGTGTGATTATCCCCACGTGAAGAGGAGAAAACCAAGGCAGATACTTGTTATAGCAATGGTCTCACTTGCTGCTCTATGGCCTGGGCCTAAGGACCCGTTACCTTCCTAAAACCTCAGCCTTCTGCCCTGCTGCCGCACTTAACGGTACCTGCATCTCAGGAAAGTTCCAGGATTGCTCGAGGAAGTGCTCCATAAGTAGTAGCTTTCATGCACTGTTGTTTTCTTTTATTTTACCTTGACAAGTCAAGGCACTTTTCTGAGTCCCTGGATTGTAGCTAGTGAGTCTGGAAGTATAAATCATATCATGGAGATCAGGACAAAGTAGCCACCCAGTACTCTATTGCTTCCCTGAGGCCTCGGGTATATCAGATAAACATAAAACGCAAGTAGAGATCAATCGTGCAGGTGCGCTGAAAGTGCAGAGTTGACCCAGCGCCTTCCTCTCCAGGCTCTGGATTTTACTCAGATGGTCCCTGGAAGAATTGACGAAAGCTGTATCATTGCCTTGCACATTTGGGGGTCTAGATGTTTTTTCTACAGGTTTAAACAGTTCCAAGTGATGTGATTTTCTGATACATTTTACATATTTAGATTTTGAAGTAACAGTTTCGCATCCATTTTTAGTGTAGGGTAAGAGAGCAGACGCACAATGATTTAGAATCTATGTAAAAGCTACCTGGAAACATTGATAACAGGGAATTTTAGACTATTTCAGTTTTCTCTTGGAACTGTATTTCCAATCCATTTTCCCTACATTATAATATGCTATTAAGTAATATTCTTATGCTTGGAAGTCTTTGGTCATCCTAACATACTTTATAACTAAAATATGTATCTAAATTGAATTTTTATCTTTTTTGTTTTCTGTGATCAAGATCATAGGTGTCAAAATTTTTCTGAGTTATCATTCTAATTGCTTTTAGTGTACCAGTACTGAAAACAACAAAAATTATTTTTTGATAACAATTAATAAAAAGTAGGACTTTATTGGAAATAGCTCATAGTTAGATGTATTGGGCTACTATTTTTCCAATTATGTCGTGCATCCATGTATAATATTATTTATTAATATAAAGAGACAAGTTGCAAAATCAATTACATTCTTTCTTCGCATACATCATTCTGTTATTAAAGATTATTTAGTTCAGTGAACCAAAACATGAATTTGTAATCATGAGAAACAAAGTTTAACCAATCTTCCAGGTGACAACTCAATCCTATCCCTGTTCAGTGTTTTGAAAACAAAAAGCTAGAAACCACCCAACATGGAAAAGAATTTATTGTTCTCATTAAAGTCATTCTTTCATTTTTTTTGAAAATATATAAGACGCATTATTTCTTATAGCTAAAAAAAAAAAAAAACCCTAAAACCAAAACAAACGCAAACCAACAAACTAGTATTTCTGTTGCTTTTTTCACGTGAGAGGAGGGAAGCGCTAATTTCACATTGCCTTTGAAGACATAATGTACTTAACAGATTATTTTCATCCTGTGCTGTGTGCACACATACACGTGCTCATATGTCATCAGAACTCTTAGGGTACAATTACCTAATTCTATTTATGGAATTTATCTGCCATATAACCTAGTTGGTAAAGCCAGTTTTCACTGTCAGGGTAATTACAGAATTATCTTTTTGTTGTTGTTTTTTGTGGTACTGGGGTTTGAAATCAGGGCCTGCAGCCCTTTTTTGTGATTTTTTTTTTTTTTTTTGAGATAGGGTCTTGTGAACTATTTGCCCAGGCTGGCTTCGAACCACAATCCTCCTGATCTCTGCTCCCTGAGTACCTAGGATTACGGGCATGAGCCCCCCAGCACCTGGCAAAATACTCATTTTTAAATAAAAAGAATTTTTATGTGTTAATAAGGTTTTGTTCTAAATGCAATCTAAAAGGATTTTTCCCAAATGAAATAGGTAAGCCATGTGCCCATCCAGAATTATCTTTTGTCACAAAAAGTCTCTTTTTCTATTGAAACAAATGGACGGATACATGTCTATGTGACATGTTTCAATTCTGATTTCTAGTTCTAAGACAGACAGTTGGATGGGGCCCCAGGTTTGCACTAAGTACGTCGTTTTGAGGAGTTGAGATCCCCTGCCTTTGGTGTCTTTGTAGTGATGTTTTGTCTTTGTGTTGCTCTCAGTAGCTCTGCATTATTTGAGATGAGGTGGGGAAATTGAAAAGGTGAGGTCACTAAGTAAAAAGTACTTACTCCTGAGGACAGTCTGTCCCATAATTAAATTCTCCATGGAATTTACTTGACTTGCAAAAGTAAGGGAATTGATAGGTCATTGACATGGGTGCAGGTCAACACAGTCTGCAAAGGGCACCATGTTTTACAACCATGTTTAAAGCAAGTTGGCACCATTGTGCACAACTGAACAGGTGCACACTGTCTTACGCAGCAGTTCCTTTCTTTTTTAAAAAATTATTCATTTATTCACATGTGCATACATTTTTGGGTCATTTCTCCCCTGTACCCACCTCCTCCACCTTCTCCCCTTCCCCCCTCACTTCCAGGCAGAACCTGTTCTGCCCTTATCTCTAATTTTGTTGAAGAAAAGACAGAAGCAAAGCGTTTTTGCTGGTTGAATTAAGGATAGCTATACAGAGAGATTCCTAGCACCACTTTCATGTACAAGTGTGTTACGACCCAAGTTCATTTATCTCTAACTGTTCTTTACACTGGTTCCTGATCCCCTTCTCATGTAAACCTGTGTCGCTTTAAGGTTCTGTATTAGTTCTTCTGGAGTGGGGACATCAAACTGTTTCATGTTTTGGGTTTTCTACCTATTCCTGTATCTCCTGTCCATTCTTACAGATATGGGGAAAGACACACTAATATGCACATGACCGTTTACCAAAATAATGCAAACAAATAAATGAGAAAAATGAGGGCCAGTAAAAAACACAGGGTGCAGGGAGAGGGAGGAATTCTTCAGTAGGAAAGGGATGAAATTGGCTACAGTATAAATAAAGTGCTCACCTTGTGCTGATAGAGTAGTCCTTTCAAATGGCCCACAAGGTGATGGAAAGCTGAGGCAGATTGTAACAGAGAGTCCCAGAGTTCATGGCACACATGGAAATTTGATACATGCCCAAGGTTACGTTGTAGATTAGCAGGCAGATGAGAGCCAGTGGTGATCAGGTAATTGATCAGCAAACGGGAAAAATTGTTGGATCTCTACACTGTGCACAGAGCTTTGTCATTTGAAAAACTTTTTGAAGACAACAGAATGGATTTATGTTCATGACCTTGCAATGCAGAAGAATATATTTGGCAGGGAGTGGGTACTGGGGATCAAATGTAGAACCTCCCGTGTTCTAGGCACATGCTCTACCACTTGAGCCAAACCTTCAGTGGTTTTTGTTGTTGTTCGTGTTTTATTTCTCATCCCACAAACTTTCCCTGGTCTGGTCTCAAATTCCCAATCCTACTGCAAACACAGTTTCAACCTGATGTGGCAAACTTCATCCTAGACTGTTTGCTACAAACTCAACTAAATCATTGCTTTCCATGTTTATTCCCAGCTTTACATCGTTAATTTTTTTATTGGCCATCCTGGGGGTTAGATTCAGGGCTTTGTGCTTACTAGGCAGATGCTCTACCCCTTGACCACGCCCCTGGTCCTTCAATCTTAGATCTTGACTCCAATGTCAGCATCTCTCTCTGCTTCTTCAAAATTGTACCCTGTTTAAAATTGTACTTCCTCCCATATCCCTTTGCTCCTTCATTTTTTCCCACAGCACCTAAGTCCTCTAACAAACTATTTTTACATATTTATTTTGTTTACTACCTGATTGGCTATAAGAGGGTAATTTCTTTAAAGAATTTTTGTGTTCCAGTTAATCAGTGATGAATAGCATCAGTTCCTTGAACAGGGCCTGAAAGCGTTCTCCTGTTGTATGCACTGAGCTTCGTGAGCTTGAGTTTGGGGTTTACCACTCCTGTTCCAGAGCTGCATATTCTGAGGCACTCACCCAATGGGAAGGGACCTTCCACCTTTGTCCATTCTGCTTTGAGTTGGCTACCCTAGACTGACTTGTCTACATTCATCCCTTCTGGCATCTTGTGGGATGCCTGCTTTCCCTGCTGGCCTGTGGCAAGGGGTCACTGCTCTTCTCTTTGCCTTCCTCTTGCCTCCTTGGGGAGTCCTGCAATCCAAACAATGGGTTAGCAGTGTGGGGACTGCAGTGTATTGGTGAAGAAAGGGAGGGTTGCTTTGGCCCTGTCAAGCTAGACTTGACTTGTCACCACATCTATTCTCCCACACTGCACTGCACAAGGCTTGAGTGTGTAGAGTGTGGCACCTGGCCATTCTCCTGGGTACAATCTAGGAATCAGGGTGGAAGTTCGCCTTGATTTGCAGTGATCCGTCAAGTCCAGAAGGGATGGAAGCCCTGGCTTTCCACTGCCCCTCCCTGCCCCTTGGCTCTGGAAACTTCACCTATCTTAGACTGGAGATTCTGAGCTCTTTAATCTTCATTCTCATCCCAAGGCATAAGGGCCTTGCTCTTTGCTATCCAGAAGGAGAGCTTGTACTATGGCCAGGCCCCTTTCAAAAGACTGGAGTTGTCTCTGCATTGAATTTTCAAAGCTATTTTTAAAAACCAAAGCCAAAGGTAATATTTTTTTTTGGGGGGGGGTCTTTCTCTTGAAATGACTTTTTCTGGAGTTGAGGGGCAGTTGATGCTTCATTGTGTTGGTTTAAGAGGACTGAGGGGTAAAGGAAGTCCTTAAAGCAAAATGGAAGAGGGGCGGAGCACAGGACACATCATCCTATTAGAAGTTATTTTTGAAGAAAAAGAAGTGAAATCAAAGAAGAAATATATCCCTGTCCTTTCCCACTCTGATTTCTACTTCAAAATTAATTCTTCTGTATTTGTTTTCTGGAGAATGGTTCTTGAATATTCTCTCTCCTCTTTCTGTGAAAATGTCAGTCCCATATTCATTTCGGGGAGATGGCTTGTTCTTAATATCTCTGTGTGCAGTCATCTGAGATTTTCCATTTGTTCCAGTGCACTTGAAGGACTGATTTGGTGTTGAGATTTATAGCTCGTATCCACTGAACTTGGACATCACCATTTCATGTTTACCATACATCTTTCATAGCATAATGATTTCTAAGCTTCATTTAACTTGATTCACACTAAACAAGTATGCTTGGAGGATGGGATGGCTGGAAAGAAAGGACGGCTTGCTTCCTAGTGCTTTGGGGTTCTGCCACCTTGTTTTTGCTGCATTATTATAGCTGGCCTTTTAGTGAGATTAGTCCAGTACTTTTTTCAAAGGCTCGTTTAAAATACCTGCTTAAGAAGGATCTGGGTCAGGTGGAAATGAAAAACCAAAGTGAATTGCTATTTAATGTGACAATCCATCAGCTGGGTCAAATGCCTTCAACTTTTTGTTTATATCATTGGTAATTTGAGGCAAAGGGAACTGGCAGTTTGCCAGGATTTGTTCCATTTTGTTTTCTCTTTCCAGAGATATTTAAAAGAAGAAATTTCACTATAAAGAAACTGAATCTCAGGCTGTAGGGATAATAGTTTTTGTTTTGTTTTAGTAGATTCTCTACCTGTGAACATGAAAGTTAAAGGTAGTCATTACAAAAGAATTTCAGTGTTTGGAAAGTGGCTGCATGGAGTGTACATGCTAAGTTCCATATATATATATTTTCCCCATGAACTAATTTTGTAGGGTGACAGCACAGAGTCACCCTACAAAATACTTAATACTTTTATTAAGGTATGGGAAGTAAGTACACCTCTGAAGCAAATACATGAAAGGAGGTAGAGATCTTGTGGCTGATTCTGTGAGACTTTTCCCAGAAAGTTGGAGACGGTAGAATGCAATACACAGATGTCTTTAATAGAGCTATATGTATTTTATATTAACCAAATTGGCAATAGTAGAATGGTTCCCTATTTGGGGGCCCACAGAATAACATTTCCCAAGAAATTTTTCGAACTCAATTTGAAACTTTATTTGAAACCATTTAACTTTTGAGGTGAATGTCAATCATCTTTTATTGAAAAGAATTTTCAGTTTGTAGAGAAGATAGTTTCATAGAGAAGATAGTACTTCATATTAGCTGACAGAACTTCATATGCTTTAGGTGGCATTAATAATATGACTGGACATTATTTGCCAAAATACATTGATCTGTTTTAGAAAATATCCTCCATTTTGACCTAATGATTCAATTCTCAGACAAATGGTTTTATAAATTCCATTGACACTCTTTAATTTATATTGAGGAAGCACTCATTATGATCACAGTTCTACCAAATCCAGTTGGCTGGATTTATGAATTTCTAAGATATTTGCATTTGTTTTTACTGAATAAGATGATTTGAAGTACAGCTGAAGTGGAAATAAAAAGGTTTAGGTGCGGTGGTAGTAACTCTACTTTGGGTGGATTATGAGTTATTGAAAAGAACCACTTTAAACTTCATTTTTCCCTTTGAGTCATAGAAACTCAGGTAGTTAATTAGTCTACATCTAAAAATGAGACTGAAGTAATTGTTGCACTTCTTCAAAGCAACAGATGCAAATGTACCCTATAGGTTTTATGTGAGCTCACAGAGTAAAGCAACTGGGGAAGAAAATCTGCCTAAGAGAAGGAAGACTTGGAAAATAAAGGGAAATGCATATGCCAGTGACCTGGCTTCTCATATCAGTAGAACTCGCAGTAATTCTTTATTTGGAAGGCCCTCCTTCCCTGCTGGTCCTTGGTTACTGCTGCAAAGCCTCTGTTACAACTGGTTGCTGGGAAGCACCCTTTTCCTAGGATGTCTGAAGGTAGTCTTGTCTGTTATCAGTGACTCATAGATTGATATTGAGTCTTATTATCTGTGTTTCCTTGCTGGGAGCTAGGAGGATGGAGGCCCCTGGAAAGTGAGACAGGAAGAGCAGGGTGTGCTGCTGTGTGCTGGGTCGCAGTTATGGGGACTGAGAAGAGAGGCGGAGATAGGAGTGTGCACAGACTGGACTCTGCATTGGGATTCTGAGGAGGGCTGCCTCCAGCCAACAGCCTCGAACTTGAAATTAGACTGTACCAGCATGATCCTCCTGATGGTACATTGGAAAACCTTGGGAGCTATTTCTTGAAGAAAATACTATCTGAATAAGAACTTGGATGTGTAGGTGTGCTTGTAGTGTACAGATTTATTCATCTCCCTAATCATCAGAATTTTATAAGACTTGATGATTTGTAGGAGTGGTAGAGAAACCCCTTATGGTTTTCTTAAGTGAAAAGGAAGGAAGGAAGGAACCATGTTTACTGAGGTGCTGCTTTAAAAGCAGAACAAAATTTCATGTCTATAAATTTAGTATAAATAGAATTATATAAATCAGTAATTGTCCATAGTTGTTGGCATTCTCCAGACTAATCTACCTAAACCAGAATATTTCTATAATTTTTGCTTATGGATAAATTATAAAACGTGATGTTTTGTAATGAAATAAGAGTAACTAAGGTAGAAGTAACTATTCAACTTCAAAAATAATTTATTGCTGCAATACATTGATTCATTCAACAAATTTCTATTGAGTACCTTACCGGGCCCCATCCTCTGTGCTGGGGGTGGGGGAGGAGGGTCTGAGTGAAGTGGATGAGTAGATGAGTGTCCAGTGCTGAGGAACTCGCCTTGTCATGATGTCAGCCATTGGCCATAGAAAGACGATTCCATTTCATTTCAGCTGCATTTCCTCTCATGTTCTGATAACTTTTTTGAGTTAGCATTTTTTCCTGGCGAGTTTTTTTTTTCATTTTCACAAAAGAATCACAGTGAAGATGCGTGTTTACCTATATTTACTTGGCAAATAAAATTAATTCTTTCAAAAATCATGCATCAAAAGGCTTCTGTCTGTTAGAAACTGTTTTTGGTGTAAGTGGATCTGAAACTGTAGTGAGTTATGGAGGATAAGCAGTGACAGAAGGGTGAATTGGAAGTGGCTGTGAACTAAGCTTTGCGCCAGTGTGAAAGGTGAACTAGAAAGAGGAGTGTGTGTGTGTGTGTGTGTGCGTGTGTGTGTGTGCACACATGCACAGTAGGTCAGCAATACATACATGTTGCATATTGCATGCTTTCATTTTGCATCTCTTCCAAAAGATTAAAATCTAAAACCACTATAGGACCTTCTCAGTCTTGCTCACAGAATGAGAGTAGCCTCTGGTAGGAGTTCCTTGAAATAAAATGTAATGACATTTTAGATGATTGCACAGCTGAGATTTTTCTCTTCTTCCTAGCTTCTAGGTCTTATAAGTTGGATGGTATTAGGGCAACAAGTTACAAATGCAATGGAATAAGGAAGAGGTCACATCTGAAAGGGCGCACTGATTTTGGAAACAAATATCACATTAATACTTTTAAAAGTTGAAAAAATGAGGACTTTTCAGCAAGAGAGACCCATCTTATGTTTTAATAGATAATTAAATTTTGATTTAGACTACACAAAAGCCTCAGCTATTAAGAACACATGCAGTTGTAGATCCTTAGATCTTTGAGAAAAAGGTAGGTTGCCTCATTTCTATTGGCACGAAAATGGAAGCATAAAGGCGGTGTCGCTTTTCCTCCTGAGCAGTCATCCGCTGATGCAAAAGGAACGCAGGCTTGCTACGTGGTCCTTTACCTCCAGTCACCATTGTGCTTTATGGAACAACTGGAACTAGGTGGCACCAGGACAAGAGTGTCACAGGGACCTTTTTTGGAGATTGTCGTAGGGATTATCACGAGGATTATGATTGTCATAAGGACTTTTATGAAGAAACCAATTACAAATTTCTTCGTCTTTGCTTGGTAGTTACCAGCTGGCGAGTGGATACAAGCCTGCCCCGATGGATCTGAGCTTAATAAAACTCACCCCCTCTCAGGAAGCAATGGTGGACAAGCTGGCAGAAAATGCTCACAATGTGTGGGCCCGGGATCGAATCCGGCAGGGCTGGACGTACGGCATCCAGCAGGTACGTGGGAGACTCAGCACGCAGACCGAGGTTCATTTAGCTGGGAATGAGCGTCCCTTCTAGCCGGACAGGTTAAACCAAGAAGTTTCAAAACTTGTTCTGACATCTTAACGCACGTATGCACACATGTGCCTGGCTAGCGTGGGACCTCAGAAATGAGACGAAAGCTCTTCCTACGACTGTGATTGTAACATGGTTTTGTGGCATTTCTCTCTTTGAGATGGAATTGTAGAAGGGGCATTTGAAATATGAAGCGTAAAGTAAAGTAATGGTAAAAATGGATCTGCAGTTCCTTCTTCACCACCCCAGGGCCTGAATTAGAATTCCAGGGTTCGCTGTTTTTGAGTGGTAGCTGACCTGTCACGTGTGGCACAGCACCCTCGGAAGGGCGGAGTCTTTACATGACCACGTATTCAGCACTGTCTGGGAATGGTAACACCCAGAAGGACAAATAAAGACTATGACAGTCTTGTATCAGTTCACAGAAGGTTTTATCACTAATTGCATTTTTTGTTAAATTTAGGAAAAAACAATTTTTTCCATTAGAGAGGGGATCCTTCTGGGGTATGTATATGGAGGCAGCATAGCAGAGGGGCTCAAAGCAAATTTTACTTCAGCCCTTAGTGACATTACTATTTAAGTTAAAGTCTCACAACTTAAATCCTTAAATTATTTAACTTTGTTATATAATGTGCGTATGCAAAAGGGGACCAAGGTGCCTGGTGCCTAACAAATACTGTGTAACACTTCTCTATTGCCTAGAGTTCTACAGTTTTCTTCCCCTTCCCTTCCTTTTCCTCTTCCCTTCCCCCTTCCCTTCCTCCTCCCCTCCCCTCTTCCCTTTCCCCTCCTTTCCCTTCCTTCCCTTCCCTCCCTCCCCCTCATCCCTTGTCCTCCTTTTCTTGGTGCAATATCTACTTAAAGATTGTCAGGCAAAATATGAATTATTGCTCAAAGGTTTGGACTATGGTTCTGTACAAAGCCTAACAGATGGCTTGCAAGATGCTTTTCTAAAGCCCTTCTAATCTGTCATTTAGAAGAATAAAGAAAACATAACTAGGTTTGTTTCACCCCATCAAATGATATTTTTGCATTGAATTCAGCTGGTCATAACCAATGAGAATGTCAACCTAGATCAGATCAAGTTTATGTGTGTGTGTGTGTCTGTGCTTGTGCACACGCACATGTATGTGTGCTAACCCTAACCTCATACTAGAGAGGCACACAGTCTACTGGTCTCTGCCGAAGGAAGACCCACTTGCCTGGATGACCACGTGTGTCTGCCAGGCAAGTCAGCTTTTCCCTGAGCTCTGCTTCCTTCTTGAACATTGAGAAACACGGCCCTGTCTGCGTTGGGGGCGGGGCTCCCCTAGGAGTCCTTTCTCCAGTCCTTCTTCCAGCTCCCACCCACCCTCATGCCCTCCCTACTGACACAGTAGTCTGTTGTGTGGTCTGAATGATGGTCGTCATTGACTTCTCCCCTCTCTCTCATTGATGGTTGATGGCGTCTGGCTTAGGACTGGCCTGTAAACTCCTTGAAAGCAGGAGCTGGTCATTCCTGTCCTCTATCATGGTTCATCTCAAGCATCAGTGAACCCAGGAGCCCTGGGGAGCTCCTTTGACTGTGCAGTTCTAGCATCCCATCTGCTGAGATTCCCCAGGGGCTTGGACATTCCAATTGGAAAGCTTTGGGGGCAGCACCTTGGCAGTAGGTCTAGAAGCTGCCTTGGTGGTGCAAGGTTTTGCTTGTTTATTTGGAGGGCTTTGGAGTGGCCCTGTCTGGACAAGCAGCCCAGACAACTTGACTCCAGTGGAGGTGGCAGTGGGTGTTCAGACATTCAGAACTAGGGATGGATTAATCAGTACAAACTTGCTAGAAAGAGGAAAGAAAGAAGACACAAAACAGGTTTCCTTACTCCTGTCTACCAGGACAATGCCTGTCCACTCCCATAGCTTTGGTTTGTTTTTGTTTTTTGAGATAGGGTCTGGCTGTGTAGCTCAGGTTAGCCTCAAACTTGTCATCCTCCTGCCTCAGACTTCTGAGTGCTGGGATTACAGGCATATACTACCATATCCAGCTCATCCCTTCAGCTTTTTGTGTGTGCAGAAGAAAGTGTGGGGACATCACAGCTCCCAGTTCCTCCTATGCCAAGGCAAATTTGGAATTGATTATGCTTCTTGAAATATGGAAACATTGCAAATCCTCAGCAGTCTCAGCAGGTAGATGGAAGGATGGACTTTCCTCAGTGATGGGGCCTTTGCACTTGTAGCAGTTGACATATCTCTATCCATCTCTGAATGTAAGGCTTCTATCTCCTCTAAGATTAGGCGTTCTTTTGCCAAGATTGCAAAGTAGTCGCCTCCACGCTTTGTCAGCAACATTTGAAATAGTTTTTATTTTTAAACCGGAGCCTCTGGTATAATAGACCAATTATGAATTTTGTAGTCATTTCAGGATTCTTGACATTGCCTGGCATTACCTGGTTTCACTGGTTTATGGAGTTGACCTGGTGCCTATTTTCTTAGCTGTTGAAGGGACACAGAATGGCTGTTGTAACACACATTGTGAAGAAGAGAAAGCACTTGTGTTGTCCCTTGACTCACAGTCACTGAAGAGTGCTAACCGCTAATTTGGCCCTTCTTACAACAAAGACTTGGCAGCAAATTGGAAATTATATCTTCTCTGAGTTAACCCATCACCTGTAACTATGGCAAATGGAAGTTGGTTAGAGAACAGTAAAGCTGGCTTTTGTTCCTATCCTTATTCTTTCCCCCTTTCCATGGAGGAGGCTGTTTTAAGTTGATGCACTTGTTCCTTTGCATAAAGCTCTAAACTAATGATGTTTTGGTAACTTCTGGAGCCTGGGAAGGCAAAGAGAGCAGAGAGATGGGCAACGTTGACCCTTGGAGAATTTGAATTTTGCTGTATCAGTTGCTGCTTCATTTCCAAAAGCTGCTGGCATAGTTTGGATAACTGCATGCCTTTCTCCTGCCCTGCAGGATGTGAAGAACAGAAGAAACCCTCGCCTTGTTCCTTACACCCTCCTGGATGACAGAACCAAGAAATCAAACAAGGACAGCCTCCGTGAGGCAGTGCGCACCCTGCTGGGCTATGGCTACAACCTGGAAGCCCCAGACCAAGACCATGGTATTGGCTTGACTTTGTCCTCTGCCCTCTAGTTGCAAAATCATGTAATAGTTCTTCAAAGCCAAGTAAAAGGAGGGGGCAAGATGGCGTCTGCTAGTCTGAGTGTGTGCTGTAGGCCAGTGGATTAGCCCCAGCCCTCAGTCTGGTGGCTCAGTGCACAGTGATTCTGCAGAAGAGAGGGACTCACCTTACCCAAGTGTCTTCAATGTGCAGTGGTCTCTGTGATGATACCCCACCCACCACCTTGCCAGTCCTCCTCCAGACATGCTGGTTTCAGTTGATAGGGAGATGCTAGTGGAGTAGGAGCTGGAGGGGGGATTCATGACCTCCATAGAAATAAATCTCAGTATTCATGCTCATACATATCAGTAGTGGTTAATCACTTAATATGATATTTTTCCTTAAGGAAACACATTAACATAGGCACTCAATATCTGTTGAGTTATTGGAGTTTTAATAGTGCTATGGAGAACACATTTCCTTTAAGTAAGAGCCAGGTGTGGTGGGGAACATGTATAATCCCAGCACCCCAGAGGCCAAGGCAGGAGGATTGTGAGTTTACGGTCAACCTGGGCTGCATAGTGTGACCATGTCTCAAAACAAAAACAACACATATTCCTTAAAAATAGTACCTTTTAAGACTATGACTTAAAATAGCTGACTCTTCAACCCTTTGCTGTGCTATTTGATTTTGTATTAATGTTTATGTTTCAGAATTGGTGAAAATGAAATGAGTGCTGTGTTTCCTTGTAGTTCCTGTTTTTTTTTTTTTTTTTTGGCAGAAAGTTAAAAAACTCTGTCCCAGTTATCTTTTAATGGCTAACATTTTTGTGGTATCTGTGCATACAAATGAGTTCAGATAACACTAGCTGACATTTACATACTGCTTCATATGCAGGTGTCATGTGCAATGAGAGTTTTCAAGACCTTGACGATTAATTATGACTCACATGTCGCAATTGTTTCATCCATTCTTCTCTGGTGAACATTTGGGTTGTTTCTAGTTTGGGGTATGAGCAAGGCTGCTATGAACATTTGTACACAAGTCTTTTTGCAGACTTAGGCTTTCATTTCTCTTGGAGTCAATGCCCTGGATCATATTTTTATATTTGTAATTGTCTCTTTATTGAATGCTATTTTAAAAAAAATCCTACTTTATTGAATGTTAAGTACCATGTCAGATATTGCAAGTATTTTCTGCCAGGTAGTAGGTTGCCTTTTCATTACTGAGGTCTTTCAAAGAGAAGACATTCTTAATTTTGAAGTCCATTTATGACTTCTTAATGTTATAATTGTAAGCTTTGTGTCCTAAGAAATCTTTGCCTGTACAAAAAAACCCCAAAGATTATGTTTTCTTTCAGAGTTCCATTATTTTAGCTTTTCCATTGAGGTCCATGATCCAGTTTGAATTAGTTTTTGTTTATGATGTGAGGTTAAGGTCAAGGTACATTTTTTATACGGATGGATGTCTACGTGTTTCAGCACCATTTGTTGGAACATTTTCTTTTCTGCATTGGATTATCTTGGCGTTTTTTGTCAAACTCTATTAAGCATAGTTGTATCAGTCTATTTATAGACTGTATATTATGTTCCATCGAGCAGTCCTTAGGGTAGATCACACTGCATCATAATGAATCTTGAAATTGGGTAGGGTCAATCCTCCAACTTCTTTTTTGTAAGGATTTCATTACTTTTATTTTCCCTTTACATTTCTGTATACATTTTAGATTCAACTTGTCAGTTTAATTATTGTGGTATAATTACTCCTGAATTTATAGATCAATTTGGGGAGAATTGATACTTTAACTATATATTTAGTCTGCCAATTCATGAATGTGGTATATACCTCAGTTTGTTTTGGTTCTCTTTAGTTTATTTTGGTATTGTTTTGTAGTTTTACTTCATTTGTTGTATTAATCTGATATTTTTATACTATTGTAAATTAAATTAGTTTTAATTTCATTTTGTTTTCCAGCTACTTAATTCTAATTTGAAATACATGTCTGATATTTGTAGATTGACCTTGTATCCTTTGATCTAGGTAAAATTTACATATCAGTTCTGTTAGGTTGTTTGGTAAATTCCATAAAGATCTTTGCAAAAATAATCATGAGTTCTACATGAAAAAAAAAAACTCCTCTTTATTTTTATAATCATCACATGAGTCTTTTGCTTTTTGATTTGTTGAACTTGTAAGGAATTCAGAACAATGTGAAAGAGAAGTGGTGAGAGAAGTTATTCTGCCTTAGGCAAAGCCTTGGGGGAAATTTTTAATGCCTCACTCTTGAATATTATGTTAACATTGGGTTTTTGAAATAGATGTCCTTTATCATTTTGAAGAGATTTTCTTCAATTCCTAGGTTTTTGAGAGCTTTTGTCATTAATGGGGTTTTAAATTTTGTTAAGTGCTTTTTTTGCCACTAAGAGGATTGTTTTATTTATTTTATTCTGTTGATATTTTGAAAAATACTGACTTTTGAACATTAAACCAAGTTTTCATTTCTAGAATAACTCATTAGCCATTATGTATTATCATTTTTTTTTACATATAGCTGGATTCTGTGTGCTAATGTTTTGTTTAGAGGTTTTACATCTGTGTTCATAGGAATAATGGCATGTAATTTTATTTTCTTTGCAATTTCTTTATCAGCTTTTGATATTAGGTTAAAGCTGGCTTCATAATGTAAGTCGCAAATGGTTCCTTCTTCCTCTACTTTCTGAAAGACAATATGTTAGTTTGGGATTTTTTTTTTTTGCTAAATATTTGATTGAGTTTATTGCTTCAACCATCTGGGCTTGAAATTTTATTCTATAGAATAAAATGTTTATTGATTCATTAATTCACTTAATTGAAGTTGCCATATTTATTGCAATTTCCATTGTGTCCTTACTATCCTTTTAATGTCTGTAGGATCTATAGGACATCCGATTTTTCATTACTGATATTGTAGTTTCTTTTGTTTCTCTTTTTGTCTTTACCACTGTTCTTAGGGATTGATTTTATAAATCTTTTAAGGTAGTTTACATTATCTGTAATTTTTTAGAGTCAAACTTTCAAACATTTATTTACTTTGCCACATCACCTAGCTTGAATTATTATGAGTAAACTGTCATGATTGTGACTATGTCATATGTTTCCTCAAGAAAGTTTTATACTATTGAGTGACCGCGGCATCCTATGGAGAAGCTCAGTCTTTTGCCATAGTGTTTAGAAATTCTCGTTTTACAAGCCCACAAGTCTTCTTTGAAATGACCAGTTACTAGTCCTTCCTTAGTGAAATGTGTGTGTGTGTGTGTGTGTGTGTGTGTGTGTGTGTGTGTGTGTGTGTGTTGGGGGAAATCCCCTGTAGTTTTATAATCTGACACATCAATTGTTTTATATCTCTAGGTTTTCATTTCTTCCTACATGAATCTCCATAAGTATATAATTATCTCTTTTTCTTCCCCTCCCCCACTGCTTCATGTCAAATGTTTTGGAAGTTCCTTACATTTACTAGGAATACTTGTGACATTGCTTTCCTTATACTCACTGAAAATTACAGAGAGAGATTGGTATCAATGTCACCCTCCCTCAAGTACCAAGTTACAAAAGACAGCAGGAGAACTACAGTGAAAATGGGACTGGGGTATTATGTCTCAGAGAAATGATAAACGATTAATCATAACCTTGAGAATTCAAGGAAAGAGTTAATTAAAGTCAATGTTCATGAAGGAGAATACATAGAAATGTTCAATAAATGCCAGAAAAATTACTAGTGATAATTACATTTTAAAGATATTACCACTTGAAGGTATAACATATTTAATTACATTTGATAAATTTACTGTTAGAGAGAAAGTTATTCCAAGATGATTCTGGATAAGTAAGATGTTATTCTGATGACTTACAGTGATTTACACTATTTCCCTGTGGACAGTCTATGGCTACCTACTTTCTTGGGAATCAAGTGAGTTTTAAGAAGAAAGCAAAAATGCTTATATCCTAGTTGGCTGCCATATTTGAAATTCTTATTTCCTTTTGATTTTAACACATAGACATTGAACATCCACTGCACCCATTCCTGGGACTCAAGGATGAGAAGATAGTTTTGCCCTCAGTGCAGGCAGAGAAGATAGACTTAAATTACTAATACTGTCAGAGTGAAAGAGTGCCCACTTAACTCAGCTTGATGATGTGTAGGAAATCTTCAAAGAGGAGATATGTTACTTATCTACTGCTGTCTTATGAATTGTCCCACCCCCCAATCTTAATGCCTTAAAATAATAGACATTGATTTACCTGGATGTTTCTACAAGTTAGGAATTTGAGAGTGACTTAGTAAGCTGGATCTGAATCCTAGTCTCTCTTGAGGTCATTAACAAGTTGGCCAGGTCTACAGTTGTCTGACAATGGAGGATTTGATACTGATACCACTCACTTACATAACTATCAGCTAAAGGCCTCATTGCCTCTCTGGCTGTTAGCAAGAGACATAGCCAGAGAGACTCAACCAGATGGACACAGCCTTACCATCTTGACTTCTTCCTAGAGGTGCTTGAGTGTCTTCCCATGACAGCAAACATAAGGAGGAAGTTGCAGTGCCTGTTATAATTACTTTCATTGTATTCTATTTGTTTCAAGTGAATCGTTGAATGAAGCCAACACCTTTCAAGTGTGGTGTGACCAAGTATGTCATATCTTACAACCATCAAAACAAGCAAAGCTAGGATGCAATTTAGAAGGATGAGTTTACACATATCTGGTGCAACTTGGCTTTTGTATTACCAGGTTCATGCATCCCAGGTGGAGAGAATGGTATATATAAAGATGAGGAGACCCAAGGGCGGATTATAAACAGGAATTTCAGAGGACTTTGTATGACCAGATATAGAATGGAATTTTTAGAATGGCAAGAGACTAAGTAGAGAAAGCATGGATTGAAAGTGACTTTTTAATAAGAAAAAAAGTGACTCTGGTACCTCCTTGGAGAACCAGCTGAATATAATCAAAACTCGAGGGG